ACAATTACTTTAGCGTAACTGTAAAAATATTATTAAAAAGTTGATTATTATATATTAGAAAAACACTTCATTATCATTGCAATTATTATCATTATACACTCAATTTTTTTTATTCCACACTTATTTTATATTTAAAAATTCTTCAATTATCAAATTAATTAGTATTCAAATTTATGTTCAAAAATGATAAATTTTTATTTTTTGAAAATGGACAGCGTTGTCCAACATTGTCCATCATTCGTTCTTTTTTTCACTTTTCCTTTCCTGTTTTCTTATAGGTAAGGCGATGCTGCATATTAGTTCTCTACATTTTATTTTTGTTGACTGCGCTGCTTGCGTAACTTGGACAACGTTGACCATAATTCCTTTCTTCACTATTTTCCTTTGTTTTCTTTAAACATAAAGCCACGCTGCGTTTTAGTTTTTTTTATTTTATTTATGCTGACTGCGCTGCTTGCATATAAAGACGAAATGTTTTTGTAACTCTAGCATTGGCATTAGTTTTATTTGCTTCACTTACCGAAGTAAATCGGTTTTTATTATCACAAGTATATTTTATGTGAAATTAATTTGAAAGACTTAAATATAAAAAAAATAATGACTACAAATAATAATAGTTATAAAAACTAATACTGGAAATAAATTAATGAGAAATTTTATTAAAGTTAATGTCTTAATATAATTATGTAACTTTTTTGAAGTGAGTGAATATGCAGGCATAGTTGTTGTTTTTGTGTTAGACATTTTTGTTATGTGTGTTGGCATATGCAGTAATTGTTGTTGTTTTTGAAGTGATTCATTTTTTATGTGCAAATTTCATATTATGTCAAAATAAAGGAGTTTCTATTATTTTTTTAATAATTTTCTTATATTTTTTAATAATAACATTTGTATTAATTTGAATACATCTTTAAATGTTGTTTTTACAATATTATTGAAATCGAAATCTTTCTTTATTTAAATTAATTCACATGTTAAAGTGGTTTTTGTTATTGAAATGATTTTTGTTTGAATATCAAATATTTGTATTAAAGTGTATACGTTTGTAAATACTTTTGTGTTTAGAATAGATTCTTTTTTTTTTTTATAAAAACTCTACCATTTTACATTTTCGGTTCTGAAATTATAATTATACGGCCATTGTTATTATTATATTAAAGTGTTTTACTTATTATATGAAATACTTAAAGTGAACGTTCCAACAGATATAGTCATTATTTTTGTAATGATGTATTTTATTTAACTGAAAAATATTTAAACAAAATTTTACGCAGTCACAGCAGTTTCTCCTTTTTTATTACTTTTGCGTTAATTGGTTTCAAAAATGTAAGTAATTATTTTACTTTAAATATCCACTTATCTTTCATACATATGTTATTAAAATACATTAACGAATAATGTCACAAATTTAATGTTCACTATAAAGTTTTAAAAAGTACTTTAAAAATTCAAATTGCAGCAATAACAGTTATAAAAATAATTTTAAACGAAAATACCAAATCAAAAAAGTCATATAAGCGAAATACAGATGAAATTGCATTTAAAGAGTTGTGCTTGTCAGTTTAACGGTTACATTTTTTTTTTTGCTTTCTTATTTCTTGCTGGGTTGCCATCGTTATTTCATAAGCATATGATTTTGATATTCATAAATTACTCGTTAAAATAATTATTTCAAAATTAGTAATTAAAAGATATATAAATTTACTCGAGAATCTATTATACAAATAAATGTTATATGTAAATAAAATAGTTTAGTGTTATCACACAACTTGTGTCGTCTACGATTGGAGTGTTATTAAAGATTTCAAAAAATTCACATTATCATATTAATTATAATCTTAATATTATTATTAATTATACGATTAAAATGAACACTACTAAATATTAAGAAAAGATAATTAAATGTTAAAACCAAAAATAAAGTTCATTCAGCCAACATAAAATGCAACATATTTTATATGCACGCCAACTTACATGGAAACCAATAAGAAAGCGGTGAACTAGTAATTAATCAGGTTCATTGAGGAATATATGTGTGAAATAAAAGCGAAACATAAGTAATAAAAAATGTCTTTGGCAACGCGACTTTTTCATAAGATATGGAACACTAAGAATAAAGAGCTAACAAATTAAAATAAGTTGCAAATGAACAAAATTAACATTTTATAAACAAATGAAGATCTGACAAATATTTGACAAAATTCATTTGTGTTTTAAATCATTGTTTATTGAAATGCAGTTTGTGTTATCATTAATTCATTTATCAAGTTATATATACTTTTTTGAATTCGATGTTGCTATAACAATCAACAAAAATTTTGTTTAAGGAATCTTTAAGTAGTGTTTATTGTTCTCAAACCTTGTGTGAAGTAGATTAAACATAATTGTAATATATACATTTTTGGAATTTAAATATTTTTTTACAGAATCTGCAAATCTGCATTATTTTTTAATTTTTGACTCAGATTATAATTGCTTATTAATAAAAAAAATTTTGGGGTTTCTACTTCTATATCCATAACAGGCAAATAATCACATTTATAAATTATAAAATATTATAATTTTTATAAAATAAAATAGAGTTCTTTAAAAATTTTGCCGCAAATCCTACCTCCCTTAAGCACTGTACACAACGACACTTTAATATGAAATCAATTTGTTTTTTATTATATTTTTTAGATGTACTCAGATATATTTATTTGTATCCTCTCTCACTTATTCTTGCTACACCGCTCTACAGAACTTTTCATAACATTAATCAAAGACTTTTATATTTTATATTAAAACATTTTTAACGATTTTAATAGTGTTAATATAGCCATTTCACATTGACTTCTAATCAATGTGAAATGGCTATAAATTGTATCTTATTGAACTCTTTGAGAGTAACATATGTTGTCTATTGTCAGGTCTCAAGTTGAAAACTAAAGCATTCTTAAACATTTCTTAAATCATTAACTAGTATTAGTTTCTAAAGGTGGTTCTTATATTAGGACCTATTGTATTCTCAAACATTTCCTAAATTGATAAAACTAGTTGAAAACAATTTGAAAATAGATTGAGATTTACTATTGCTAAACTATTACTAGTTATAAACTCATTTCTTGGTCTAGTATTTCTTGAATTCAACTCGGCAATATACGGCTATTTATTATTCGTTAATTTGATCACTAATTTAGCAATACAATTTTCTGACTTAAACAGCAACACGTCACTTATTTTCTGTTTTCTTTCTTATACGCTTTTTCTACTTTCATTTTGCCGTGTTATATTCTACTGCTATTTATTTCTATCACACATTTTATTCTTTTGAAGCTGCCTCACTTCTTTACTTGAGAATCAGGCGTATGATGTTATTAGTTATTATTATTAGGCAATTAGTTCCTAACTTATTAAGTAATGGTTTAATTTATTAGGAAGTGTTAATTGCAAACTGGTATGGCTTAAACTACAATTTATTTACTAGTCTTACGTTTTTCCCAGTCAAATCTCAATAAATATTATAAAATTATAAAATAACCAATGCAATGTCCATCGCTTCCATTTAATATTTGATCTATTATTTATTATCCGAACCAACACAATGTCCATCACTAATCGCAAATGCGAAACAATTGAATGCATTGGCTTTTTACGGTTTTTTAGTCTTCAGCTTTATGAGTTGTTTTTTCTAAATTCCTTGATATGATATTAGTTGATGGGAAAACTATTGAGTTTTTCATTTTTGGGACTTGCAAACAAATGGTTGTATCCTACAGGCAGATTGGATGTTTTTTTACATTTAATCTTTCTGTTTACTCTTACCATACAAAAATTACTTTCCGAACTTGGAAAGAAAAACTGTTTATTAAATCGACCGATTAGAAAAGATAAAACAATTTTTAAATGAAAATCAATTATTAAAATTAATAAGTTACTGTATAAGACTGTAAAGACATTCTTTAAGCAAAGATACTTTACTTGACCAGTCATGTTTAAAGAAATTTGCATTTTCCATGCTAATCATATAAATACCAGTAGACCTATTTTAAGTAGAATACGTAGATAGTTTACGTAAATGAAAGTAAGATCTGACAGGTTTTGAGTCTTGCAAATGTTTTCGCATCCTTGTTAAGAATTTTTTAATAACGATTAAAATCTATTTGAACTATATATGTCAGCGTTTAATTATTGATTTCTTTATTCTACACCAAATTTGATTAGATACTATTTTATAGCTTTGAAAGTAATAGGAACTCTATTTTTAATGAAATCCATCAATGAACAACAATTAAAACGTGATGTATTATATTATTAATTGTTCAATTGTACTGCTTGTTCCATTGCTTACAATATGATTGTTAATCATAATACATAATAGTTCACCCAATACATTTCGGGAAATTCACATAAACAATTTCATTCACATACATATTTCTTTCAACGTTTTCGAAAATTTCTAACATGTTGCAATTTCACGTAGATCCATTCCTGAGATAGTATTTGGTACAAGCTTTTTCTGTAAGTGCTTACAATATTGTTATTGAAATTTTCAGTATACCTCATTTTTGATATATGAAAATTACTCCATTTGTTGGCTTTCTAATATAAATATGAAATATTAATCAAAATTTCAAGAATATCTTAGACAAATACTCTAATTTTCATATAAATAAATTTATATTTATAGCTTTAATCTGACTTCAAAT